ACTATATATATATATATATACTATATATATATATATATATATATATATATATATAATACACACACCAGTATATACAGGTATATAGATACTAAAGTAAACTACTACTTAGCACTCTTACTACTATTCCTACTTTGTGGTTTTTCACTTATCGCGGGGCTTCAGGATATGGATCCAACGTGATAAATGAGGGACTACTGTACACGATAGCTTTTAAAATATAAGTTAAAGAGAGAAAAGTACGAGCTTCAACAAGCTGTGTAGTAATTACTTTATTCTCAGGTAGCCATCTTTAAAATACGGGGATGCCCTAACTCTCATCCAACTGGATGGTTCAAATACCAACTATAACTGGTACAGTTGTCTTTTAAGGAGTAAAAATGTGAGTGTGATAGAGACTTGTTACCTGCAGCACTGAGTTTCAAGTTCTTCTGCAGAAACAAGGAGAGATGACGACTGACCAGGGAGGTCGCCATGGCACCGGTCTGGAGGAAATGTGCCCTCAGCGACCAACCAGTCACCTGCAAACACAGACAGATGGAGGATGAAGCCACCAGAGGAGAACCTTCAGACAACTGAAGCAACACTAACATGGACTGACAGCCCCAGCAGCTCAGCCTCATTTCAGAACCTCACAGCTATGCACAAGTTAAACCCTCACATATTAGCTCCGCCTGTGATTTGTCAACTTCTGCCCCAATAAAGACATCCTTCACCCTGCTGTTCCTCTTATTGTTACCTGACAACCTGGAAGTTGAGTGAAGTCAAAAGTTGGGTGAAGAATAGTGACTCCATACTGAAGGACTGTTTTGCATGCACAGACTGGTAGGTCTTCAGGGAGGCTGCTGTTAATCATGGGAAGCTAGATCTGGAGGAATACAAATCCTCAGTCCTGAGATACATTATTAGCAAATGTGCTGATGACGTCGCCACCATAACATATGTTAAGGGCTGCCTGAACGGGAAGCCTTGGTTGAATGCAGAAATTTGCACCTTGCTGGAAGCCAGGGACACTGCCTTCACATCTGGGTCCATGTACATGCAGGCAGTTCGTTTTTTCGTTTGAAATTTAAAATGAAAAAACAAAAACACACATTTTTTAGTTTTCGTTTATTAAACCAAAATGAAAAATTGGATAATGAAGTGTCATCTGATTTTGTGAACAAAACGAAAATGGAAAAAACGGATAACGAGCGCTCACTTTCGATTATCATGATTTCATTTTTGACAAGTGGTATGACCCCAAAGTTGTCTCTGCCCCACACAGAGCAGCTTATTGCTTGTGTACACGTCCCTCCCATAGAAGGAATGGACTGCTGAAGTCACGTGGGTCCTGCAGCAGTAAATAGTTCCAAACAGCAGCAGGTTCAGCATTGAACGTAGTTCATTCTCCATGTTTTCTCCAGGAAGTTGATGAAAATACGACACTTTTTTGCCATTGTGAAGAGTTATCTGACTGTTCTATACCACAATTTATCAACATTAATACTTCATGTCGCCAGTTTGAGTTAATTAAACATGTTAAATGGCTAGTTGTGTTTTAACTGCTGCTAGCTCTTTGCCATCGTGACGGTTTAAACGGGTTGATTTGTCTAATTCTGCATTTTAAAATATCCATTACAACTTAAATTTTGAAAGTTTATAATTTTTTTTAAATTGTTATGGTAATTCCAGTTACTGAACTATCTCAACTAGAAAATATTTAACCTTGAGATTGACATGGTTAATTTAGTGCAAGTTGAAGAGCCTTTGTCAAAGACTGCAGTATAAATGGGGACACTATCATTAAAAACGTGATCGTGGAGATGAGTATTTTTTTATGTTTTCCAGGTAAACCAGAGAATGACTTCAGTGAATTGTTGAATGATGCATTCAAAAAGTATCAGAAAAGTAACAAAATCTCATTTTATATCTTCCCAAAACAATAACAGCTGAATCAAGATGTCTGAATAAAATTACTGTAACACCATCATCTTCACAAAGTTGCTATTCACTGCAGCACTGTTAATTTACAATTTATTTATTTTCTTAGTTTAATGTATGGTAATCATGGGTCAAGTTGAGATGACACTCTCTTTCAAGACAGAACAAAAAAAAAAATATATATATATTACCAAGAATATATCAGCATCAATAAACTGTAGAAGAGTAATAAAACAACTTATTAAACTATCACGGGTTCATTGAGATGGAGCTGGGAAGTATTCTTCATGCCAATTGCCTTCATCTGATCTTTTGTAAAAAATATGTCAGAATTTCTTTTCCATTGTTGACATTTTTCTTTGCAGGACTGCATAATTTTCTTGTCTGTAAAGTTCTTTTATCCTGCTTATGTAATTTTTTTTTTTTTGCATTGCCCGTTGATCCATCCTCCTGGTCCTGTTGATCCTGGCTCATCAGTTCCTGGCATGTCCCCGTCCTCTGAGGACACATTTTCACCTTTCCCTCATCTCACTCGCCTCATTTCTATTTCTCCCTTCCTCAATGTGTGAAATTACAATGGCACTGTTAGCATGAACATTATTGTTCAATAAAAATATATGTAACATGTATTATTTAACACCGTTCGTAACAAAGTTTACTTTAGAACAATACACAAAAGTGTGATCACTGGTCAGATCACTGGTCAGATCACTGGTCAGTGGAAGTTCTGCTGTTCTTCTCATTTGGTTCTGGGCGATGAACAAATGGTTGAACCTCCTTCAGTCTCACACGACCTGACTGTGTCTCTGTAAACTGCCCTCTCTCAACATGTGCCTGTAGAGTGACATTAGTTAATTTTCTTAGAAATTTATTTTACAGTTAAACATTTTGAGCCCTGATTGAAAATGTTTGTGTGCAGATTAAATGTACAGCACTCAGTTTTGTGTGTTTTTGTGTGTTTCCATTAGTACCGGTACAGCCCGACTGGACCCGACTCAGCCAGGTTCCGAGGCTTTTCCATTAGTAACAGTACGTAGAACCTGTGCCTATTTTCAGGACCCTTGTCTCTGTGGTTCTAATCCGAACGAGTAGGTAGTAAAACGTGATGTCAGAACAGTGTCAGTCACTGATTGGTCGGGGGCGGAGTCACTGGATCCTTCAGAAACTTTTCAAAACAATGATTCGCCATTTGCAATTTCTTGGACTGGAGCAGCAGCTGGACCTATTTTGAAGATTTTAAAAACAATTAAAGCTGCAAGCAGCATTGGAGGCCCTCGCAGCAAAGCGCCGCTCCGGCCTTACGGCGACTGCGTGAGCTCCAGCTAGTCCACCCAGTCGCCATCGCGAACGCTGTCGTGCCAATCCCGCACGCGTTCACCACGGGGCGCATTTCCCGAATCTTCGACATGGCCTTCCGTCCATCTTGTTACTCGTCCAGCTGTAAGTCTTACAAGTATAGGCAAAATCTGACCTTCCAGACAGGAGTTATGGTGACTTCCTGTTTTGTGGCTAATGTTTGACAAACACTTCCTTTATGCTTTTCAACATGTCATGTGTGGTAATCAACAGTTAGCAAACAATGTTCAGTCTAATATCTTATACAGTGCGAAGCTGGAAGTGTCATCCAATAACCGATTTTCTCTGTGTAGGTGGGACTTAAGTGATGTCATGAATCCACATTACCAATGTGTGTACAAGTGCTCACTGATGAAGCACAAAAATTCATTTTCAGATTGGATGATGTATCACTGAGATATAACTGTTGGAATAATGTAGGGAGCACACTTGTCTAATGTTAAAGAGAAATATCAATGTGTCTATAAGTGCTCACTGATCACGCACATACAATGTGGTACATATTCCGACTTCTGGTAAGATGGCGCCCGTGTACATGGCTTGCAATCCACCTCTGCTGATGGTGTTCGGATTATTTTTGTTTTTTGCATTTCACTTCTGTGACATCAACTCTCTGCTGGTGTATGACAGACAACAACTTTTGAATCTTCATTTTTCTGGCACTGAAGTCGCTTATTTGGACCATTACCAGCGTACCTCTGAACCCCCCCCCCCCTCCCCCCCTGCTGGCAGACGTGCCAGCTTACCTTCGCTGCGCTCCTCACCTGCCTGCCCGGAGATCTCGTTTCAGACGCCGGGGAAAACGTGCTGGTCAGCTGATGAAGCTGAAATCTCTGCGCGCTGCATCTTCCTCTTCAGCTGGCGGTCATGGTCTCCATCACCAGCTTCCTGTGTGCCCGGACCAGGTAACCAACAGGAGTTGTCAGCCGTTGCGCAGCTCGGACCGACCTGGAGGGGCTGTTATTGAAAACCTGCGGCCATTAGCGTGCGCTAACTCCACCACTGCTAGCTCCACTTTGGACAGTATCCGGATGTGTTTGGTCAACGCTAGATCTGTTACCAACAAAACTTTTATCCTCAGGGACTACTTTCAAGAGCACGATTTGGACTTTCTGTGCATCACAGAGACGTGGATGTCTCCGGGTGAGTCCAGCGCCTTGACGGATTTACTGCCACCGAACTGTTTGTGTTTTAATGCACCGCGGCCATCAGGCCGGCGCGGTGGTGGATTATTAACAATATTCAAATCAACTTTTGACTGTAAACAACTGCCCATCCCACTTTCCCGCGCCAGCTTTGAGCTGAGCGTCTTTGAACTCGGACATTCACCTCATACTTTATTTGCACTCGTCTACCGCCCATCTCGATCTAAGGATTTCAGAAATGAGTTTTCTGACTTCTTAGCTGAAATCACACCAAAATATGAGCATGTTTTCATTATTGCGGACTTTAATTTGCACGTGTGCTGTCAGGAGAAGCCCTTGGTTAAGGACTGTTTAGATCTATTGGACTCATTTAATTTAACTCAGCATGTAAACGGTCCCACCCAAGAGCGCGGACATACACTGGACATTGTTTTAACTCATGATATGACTGTTAATAATCTTGTTATTGGTGATAATGTTTTCTCAGACCACATGCCAGTCCGGTTTGAGTTCACCCTCCCCCATCTAACTCCTAAGTCGTGCATTCCTGCACGTAGGACTCGGACCATTAACCACTTCACTGCCACACGTTTCACAGATGTTTATAACTCTGAAATGATAATTCAGACCCCAGTGTTTCTCACCACCACTGAGGAGCTGACATCCCAGTTCAACTCTGTCTGCTTAAAGACTATGGATCATGTCGCACCTGTTAAAACCAAAAAATCAAAAATCAAAGCAGAACCTTGGCTGAGTGACGTCACCAAGGCCGTTAGGCAGCAATGTAGGAGGGCGGAACGAAAGTGGAGGAAAGACAGGCTGCAGGTCTCTTTCCAGATACTTAAAGAGAGTTGGCGCTGTTATCAGAAAGCAGTAAAAGCTGCTAAATCAAAATTCTTCTCTGATATAATTACCTCAAACTCTCACAACCCACATGTCCTCTTCTCCACCCTAAACTCTGTTCTCCACCTCACTGAACCATCACCTCTGGAAGCCTCGACTGAGCTGTGCGACAACGTCTTACATTTCTTTTTGGAAAAAATTGCGACCACTCTCATTTCCCCTCCAACTCATGACCCATCCATCCCACCTCAATC